TCAGTAGGTATAGAGTATTCAATCTGTAATCAGATAGAAAACTAGCTTAAAGTCTGTATGAGTATTGATCAATGATTCATACTCAATGATTCATACTCTGAATGGTCTGAAGTTGTTAGTGGTGTCCCCCAAGGTTTAGTGTTGGGCCCCTTACTGTTTAATCTTTTTATAAATGATATAGAGTTGGGGATTAAAAATACTATTTCTGTGTTTGCAGATGATACCAAGTTATTTAGTAGAATACAGTACTTACAGGATGTTTCAAACTTACAAGCAGATCTGAATGCACTGTGTGATTGGGCATCTATTTGTAAAATTAGGTTTAATGTTGATAAATGTAAAGTTATGCACTTGGGGACTAAAACCATGCATGTACCATGTACTCTAGGGGGAGTATGTTTGGGGGAGTCAGTGATGGAGAAAGATCTGGGTGTTCTGGTAGACCATAGATTCAATAATAGCATGCAATGTCAAGCCACAGTTTCTAAAGCGAGCAAAATACTTTCTTGTATTCAAAGGGGTATAGACTCCAGAGATAGAGACATCATCCTGCCCCTGTACAAAGCAGGAGAAGAAATAAAAGACTTTCATGTTGGAGCACTATTACTGAGTGGTTTGCCTGAAAGTTATGAAACACATGTTACAGCACTTGATGCACGTCCAGATGATAAACTGACATTAGAATATGTTAAAAGGCAAGCTTGTGGATGAATACAAGCATAAAACAGAAAGGATCAATAGTGACAGTGTTTCCAGTGCGGAGTCTGCACTAAAGATGGAAGATGCAACCAGAAACACGTGAATGTTTTGTGTGTAAGAAACAAGGCAGACTGCAGAATCTAGAAAGCTAGAATGCAAAAACAAAATAAACCACAAAGGATCAAAAGCGTAAAGGAAGAAACAGACCAAAACTTCAGATAATCAAATGCTGCACCACATCTTTGCAAGCATAGTGTTTTGATTCAGGAGCTACGAGTCACATGACAAAAGACAGAAATTTCTTCAATAATCTTCACCAGAGTAAAACAGAGAAAATTACAACCGCTAATGGACAAATAATGGAAACAGCAGGAATAGGAGACAGTTTTCTTTATTGCCCGATATCCCAGAGTGTCACCAGAAAAATACCTGTTAAAAATGTTTTTTTTTTTTTTAATGTGCCTGCTCTCGAAACCCATCTTTTGTCAATAAAGAAGCTCACAAAACAAGGAAATGTAGTGACTTTTGAGGTTGACAATTGTGCTATCACAAGAGGTGATACCTTGTTGGCAAAGGCTAAAATCACAGATGAACTGTATCAGCTGAACTGCAGTGAAATGGTTAATACTGCCAAAGAGGAGAAACATTTAAACTGCATCCACACTTGGCACAGACGTCTTGGTCACAGAAATGTGATCAAACCATGAAATGTACCAGCTGCATTAAAGGAAAAATGACAAGAAAGGCTTTTCCAAAGCAGAGCAACAGCAGAGCTCAAAAAACCTCTGGATTTAATAATTCAGATCTATGTGGTCCAATGGAAAAATTTACTCCAGGAAAGAAAAGATATTGGGGTTGATTTACTAACCTTATAAAACACACCACGAACATGTATACACCTCTGTAGTGTGTTCCCTCCCAGCATGATCTATGGGTGGAATCTAAACACCTTTGTAGTGTGTACACACCCAGCAGGTGTGTTGTGCAAAGCCAAGCATGAATTGCAAGGTGATGTTGTGTAAATTAGCTCTATGTTGTGTTGCTTGCGTTGATGAATGCAGGAATGTAAATGCATGAGCTAACCATTTTTGTCTAAACTGTGAAGCAGCATTATATATGCATCATGTGCATGATTTTTCCCTATATGGCATTAGTGGAAATATGCTTTTAGAGACTTTTTGGTTGATAAATACGTTTTGCTGTGTGAAAATCACACGCACATGGTGCGTGCGTGTGTTTAGGTTAGTAAATCACCCCCATTATCTCACTTTTATTGATGATTACTCCAAATATACTACATTGTACCTGCTAGACAACAAAAGTGAAGTACCAGAGAAACTTGTTTACAGTTTATGGCTCAAGTAAGTAACAAATTTAGTAAAATGCCTAATACCTTGCGGACAGACAATGGAAGTGTACAATATACAGACAATATACAAGTGGCAACACACAGACTATTCTCAGAAAGCATGGGATAATGTTTCAAACTACAGTGCCATACCACCCAGAGCAAAACGGGGTTGCAGAGAGAATGAACCGTACTCTATGTGAGAGCGGGAGGAGCATGCTGATTGATGCAGACCTGCCTACCACATACTGTGGAGAGGCAATTATGACTGCATGCTATATCCAGAACCGGCTACCAGGTAAATCAACTGAGAAAACACCATATGAACTATGGAATGGAAAAGCACCGGACTTAAAGCATATAAAAAATTTGCAAAGGAAACAGGAAAAACTTACAAAATGGGATGCTTGTGGGATACAGTGAATGTCAAAAGGGATACAGAATCCTGCACCAAGACACAAACAAGGTAACTGTTAGCAGAAGTGTTATTGTTGATGAAACCTCAGTGTGTTCAAAATTTCAAGCACTGACACAAATGCCTGAAACTGAGGGAAAATCCACATCAATGTCACACAAAGACAAGGGACAGAGTGACACAGAAATAGAAATGAACACAGACAATACAAATTCTGAAAAAGAAGAAGAGAAGAGTCTTCAGTCAGGAAGTCCATAAGAAGCAACAAAGGCATCCCTGCAAAGCGTGTATCTTATGTTGCTTGTGAAGCATTAATGCCAGAGCCAGATTTATGGGATGAGATGCAAAGACTTTCAACCCATGAGAAACAAAAGTGGATCAGAGCTGCTGATGAAGAGATTACATTTTCAGAGCTACCACATGATAAGCGTGCAATCGGATCCAGAATGGGATTGACATAAGGAGTAGTTGTTGAGTGGGGGTGTAAGAATACACATTACTGTGTTTATAGCAACAGCTTCTGCAGTATACAATTTCAGTCACCAGATGGCAGTGTTTATAAGTTCTGTTATATATCTATGGTAGATTCTATTGAAAAAGGTAGAGACTAAAGCTGCGGCTTCCTTCCTGTGTTTCTCAAGCCATGCGCAGCATGCATATCAGACTGTGTGCTTGTGTTTCTCTGTGAAGCTGTGCAAGAAGTTCCAACAAAAAGTCCTGGAGTTCTTTATTAAGTACATGTTAATATTGTGTCTGCTTGTGCATGTTATCCTGTATATTTGATAGAATTTTGTAATTAAGCAGATTTTACTTTTTACCTATTTGGTGACTGTTGTAGGCTTTATGCATTGTGTCAACACTACATACATTGTCCATTTGTACAACATGTCCCAATATCCACGATAGTGAGGAAGCTTTTTAGAGTTGGCTGAATATGTAATGTACACCAAAACATATAGAGTGCAGGGTGAAGAGTATGTACCGTGCAACGTAGCGTGCAGAGTATGAAACATGTAACATAGCAGAAAGAGCGTGTGGGTTAAGGGTATGTAGTGTACAACATAATATATGTATAGATTGTTGGGGTCCGGAGTACATAATGCACTGCCCCTTACATTGGGTGTCGGTGGGAGAAAGAGAAGGAAGATCCCATCACTTGTGTTACTTGGTCATTACCTGGTGTGACGCTTCATGACCCTGGCCAACTGCTCTTTCTGCCAGACCTCTCGTCGACTCGCACACTGGAGGGTGTTACTCATGCAACAGGTGTCTGGGTCTTCTACACCCCTGGGAAAGAATGGGGGCCCAGTAAAGGATCAGAGTTGACTGGAGGATCGTCTGGTCCTCCACTGAGCCATCTTGACACTACTTCCACAATTAATTATATCGTCTATAAATGTAATTTAGAATAATATTAAATACTTTTAATTATATAGTATAGGCAGCACCCCAAACTTTGGTAGTGAAACTCCCAGGAACTCTACTTCACAGGCAAATCTTAAATCCAGACAGTACAGTACCTGCAGTAATTACAAGCTTACTTATTAAATCTGGCAGTGTAAGGATTATCAAGGATCAATTTCAACACATGGGCTCTTACACCCAGCAAAACAGTTTTATTGCATTTTGCATATTATACTTCTTTATGATAAGAAGAGACATACACACATATATGAATTCATTTTATTACATCTAAAAAAAATAAAATATTTTAAAATCTACATATAAAACTGTGCAAAATATATGTTATCCAAAGCAACAAACTGTCTATATTATTTGGAATACATTTAACCTCTAGAAGGCCAGAACTATCTCTAAGTAGTAGCTTCCATCTCTGTGATAAATTTGTCATAGTTGGTCATTGAATCATTTCAGCCCTAGCATCCAGGACTGCATCCCAAAGTCCTCATAACTTTCCATTTGTTACCTTCTAACTTACAGTACTGTCCTTATAGCTATAGCTTCTTTACTGAAATTTAAGAGCAGCAACAGACAGCATATTGTAGCTGCTCTGTCAGTGAAGGGATGAAAGGACGGCCTAATGTGTGCCACCATGGAATCTTGGATTGGTTCCTATTTAAGTGCCCCCTCTAAACTATTTCCAGCATACCCTTGTCTTTATTCAGTGACTTTTACCAGGGTCCTTGATAAAACACTTGCATCAAAATGGGTGTGTTAGTCCCAATTTATCATAAGTGCATCTTATCATACACATCTTGAAAACATGAAATTTTTCAGCCTCTCAAAATGCTAACTAATCTTTTATTTACAGTAACAAAAACACCTTTCATGGACCTTCAGCACATAGGACAACTGCATAATATGTCCAGCTCCGATCCAGGAAGGTCCATTTTAATATCTATCATGAGTTTGGAATTAAATGTGTTTTGCGTAGACTGTTTAATGTGTGTTTTTAAATGATTCAGGAAACAATTATGGGGTGGTTTAAGATTCACCACAGTTTAAAATGTATATAATGCTTTTATATACACACAGATATAATCATCTGATCAAATTTCTGTCACAAACTAAAATGTACTTTTCAGTTACACTTTCCATTAATTTACTAATGGATGCATGGCTGTTTGGCATCACCTCAGTAACATACTAGTGCAAACAATATGCAGACACACTGCATTCTAATTCGGCCTTTCTAGGAAAAAAACATTCAGTAGGTGAGCTGGTAACTTTGCCGTCACATTCCATCATAGCTCTAACCTCTTTGAGCCTCCTGTGACACAGACCTGCAGAAAGACTCTGCCAGTCCAGGCTTGGCAAACTCCATGCGTGCTGGCTGCATCAGTGGAGGAAGCTCTTTGGTGATCTGTGATACTGGGGTTTTGTTCTGGCATATACCATCGCTTCCAGGGTTTGAGAGAGCCCTCTCAAATTCAATCATGCTGCGCAGCTGAGGTGGTGTTCCCATGCGGTCCATCTTGAAGGTGAGATCAGCTGGCTTGAAGATGGGCAAGGGCAGCATTTGCTGAAATGGCAACTGGTACTGGGTAAAGTGGTGACCTAGGCGGCCCATTTTCATGATCTGGGCTGGAGAACGCTGGACCAGGAAATGTGTCTGACCCTGTTGTGAGAAGCTTTCCTTCCTCTGGACATTAGCATCACGGGCAGTGCATCTGTAAGGCAGAATATAAAAGCAAACCTTGCTATCAGAATAAACGGTGAAGATGTATAACTAGAATCATCCTTTCCCACTTTTAGATTTAACCTAGCTAGTTTAGGATTTTAACTGCTGAGGAAGCTTGGACAGCTGCTCAGGACACAGAGGGCAAAAACTACAGTATTACAAATGCAAAGAAAAATGAAAAAATGCATGTGAAGTCTGTATATAAGGCTGATAGTTAATTCAGAATCCTATAATTATTATAGTTAAATCAGAACTGCTAGTATATGTTTATTACTTAATGAAAATGGTTGCTGCTTAGCTGTAACAGACTGTTATTAGAAATGTATGGGATGGGCATTTCAAAATTATTAAAGCTGGGCATGGCTTACAGATTAGGGATGGATGAGTAAACCTTATATATTCAAGAGTTTTTTAAGATCAATGATTTTTTCATCAGCATCCCTATTTTGATTGGCCAAGCATGCAAGAATGTACGTATTGAGAAGAAAGATGATGTCCTCAGTGCTGGCTTACCTTATGAAAAACAATAGCATTGAGCAAGGAGAATCAGCTTGACCTTTTCGCAGAGAAGGGACAGCAGTGAGATATGTGGAGATATGTAGATATATAATTCTCTAATCCAACACTATCCAAATGGACTGGGCAATGATAATCTTATGTTTAAGGGCAATTTAACTATGCTCTGAGCCAGATATAACAGTACCCTCCAAGGTAGGAAGGCTTTTATACTGTAGACAGTCAATATAAGGATATCTGCTTTTTTTTTTCTGTAAATGAATCACCCATGGGGCAGAAAAAACAATTCACAGCTCAACAACAGTTTTTAAAGGAGGAACTAATATAAATCCACTGTATACATATAGCAGATTACCATATTAAATCCTTCACTATATTTACAAACAGCCTTCATGCCCAAAGATCACACTCATTCCATTAAAGTCAACTTCTGGTAAGCCGATTTAGCCTCATATAGTTAATAACTACAATACATAATCAAAATACAGTGCCAAATATCTCAGTCTTTACACACATATGGGATCTCTAACAATAAATCCTAATTCCACCTGTAACCTCCTTGCCTTTTATATTTACTAGTCCTTTAAATAATACTCCTTTCACCCTTATCATCCTTCATCCTTACCTACTAATTACTTACACATTATTCATTGGTTTAAAAAACTATGCTACTAGAAGCATACATATCCTTTTTTTATTATTTAATTTGTGATCTATTTATGGCCTTGACCTTTCTTCTATTTCCATCATCTTTAACCTCTTGCCGTCCGCCCGTAGTAAAAAAACGGACGGACGGCACTGCTGCATTAGCGGGTTGCCGTCTCCAGACGGCAATTTAATGCTTCCTGGCTGCTGGTTATGGTTTATAATAGGTTTAATATGACTTATAGCGAAATGTCAACATTAGTTCCAAAACATAACTTTAGGTCCCACGATGCACACAAATGAACAAAGGTTGCTTTGACTCTATCTATATTTACTTCTCTAATATTTAATTATATGTAAATGTTAGGGATGTCCAGATACCAGTTCAGATATCAGTGCCGATACTTGGCATTTTCACAAGAACTACCAGGATCGCAGCAGTTGCAGCTGGGACCTAGCTCTGGTCCTCTACCACTGTCCTGAAATCATTAGTCTGTATTGTATTAGAAAAACTGTCACATGACAATAAACAAAAATGAATCAGTACTTGTATCTGTGAGTACTTGGACAAGTGTTAGTACTTGTACTTGGTAAAATGGTATTGGTGCAAAAAAAAATAATGCATTAAAATGGGATGTACAAATCCCAGGAGCTCTGTATGCTCCTTAAAAATGACAGCTGCCTCCTACCTTTTGAATTTTTCTCTAGTCTTGTCTTGGAGCTGGAAAAGTATCTGTACATGTACTTGTACCGAGTACGGTACTTGGTATCTGAACATCCCTAGTATATGTCTAAATATAATTCATTTTATCTACTGCCCTAGTATACACCACACTGCTTTTCTCTCACCCAACCAGACAATCCACAGAAGAGCTACTGTATTGTGAAAGCAGCAGCATCAAACCGCTATTGTGGGTGCTCTAAGGGCTTGTTCACACCAAATGCAGACCAGATCTGCATGAGTTTCTGCACACGCAGTGCATTTGGTTGTGCTGCGTTTTTTGGTTTAGAATGGGCTTTTTGTGCGTTCCAGGGCATTTGCATGCGTTTTTGATGTGTTTGCATGCATTCCAGAGCAGGTAAAATAGGGCTTGCTGCAGTTTTTTTTACATGCTCTGGAACTGAACGCTGCGGTGTGAACTAGAGCCCAAAATACCATTGGAATACATTGGACGCAGTTTTGATCTGGTCTGTAACTGCTCTGCTCTGCTCCTGGAACGCGCTTGGTGTGTACAAGGCCTAAGTCAACATTAAAAAGCACAGAAGAAAACCATCTAAAGTAACCCATTTAGTAAAAATTGCAAAGCAGTGTGTAGAAAGCAATGCAAAGGTATAAAAGGCCATTTGGCTGTCTCCTATAGGTATTGCAAGTTGTATCTCACCTCTCCTCTGGTCTGGTGAAAACGGATGTATCCAGCCATTCTGCAGAATAATGCTCCCTGCGATCTTTGTTTGCTTCTTTCACCTCACAGCTTAGATCAGTCAATGAGCTATGGGCTTCATATTTTTCTGGTTTCATCTTGAATTAGGTATTTGTTAACAGATTACAGTGATTGTGATTGCTCTGTTTCCTTTGAGTCCTGCTTACACATTGCTCTGCCTTTATATAGTCCTCTGAGAGCCTATTTTCATTCCAACAATCTATATCTGCAAGAAGAGTCATCCTCACTCCCTTCCCCCACACCCACACAGTGACCGCTCAGTGACACATGGGACAGATAGGAAAATATGCTCATCACTGCTTATAGGAACATGTTCACGGTACTAAGATGTGGGGGTTGCTATCCATCTTTCCCATTGGGATTAGTGCTACAGTTCCCAGAACAAAATACACAACGTGCTGTCTGTCACTTGCAGGAAGGTATCATCAGACTGTGCTGATACAACACTTTACTTCTGTTATACATAGTGATTAGTTGTGGAGTGATTTCCCTGAAACTGATTGTGCTGCAAAACTGTGAAAGGTGAAATTTTGCTACCAGTGAATGAACACTAATTGCAGTGATTGCAGTGCATAGACAAAAGATGCTTGAAAAAAAAAGTTCTACCCTCTACTCTTTTAAACTAATACGGGGGCATTTTTCGAAACAAGAAGAAGTTTAAGATGGTTAAAGGATCTTCCATAACCCCAGAAGCCATTTAATACAGACTGCACATCTGAAAAAACACCTTAATTTTGCCTCCTACACTGACTCCAATGCATTTTCACCAACATGGTGAAATTTTACCGAAATCTCCTGATTTTCACAGAAATTTTAGAGAAATAAAAGTTCTCAACTTTGCTCATCACTATAAGACACACATAAGCAGATAAATATATTACATAACAAAAGTACAGTATATCACCCAGAAGTAACATTATATCATGGATCAACAGTAGATATCTCTACAGCATCGCACTATATCTAACAGCAGGAGTATAATCATATCCTTTTATAATACCAGTTTCACTTTGTCACAGGGGTAATCCAGTGTAGAAATTATCTAAACAAAGCATACAGTATCACTGAGATCCCATTTGCAACACACACTGTTCTTTTCATAGTGAGATCCAATTTCGAGCACACGCACTGGTATTTCTCCAGTGAGATCCCACCTACAGCACACATACTGTTCTTTCTCAAGTGAGATCCCACCTCCAGCTTAAATACTGTTCTTTCTCAAGTGAGATCCCACCTCCAGCACACATACTGTTCTTTCTCCAGTGAGATCCCACCTCCAGCATACATACTGTTCTTTCTCCAGTGAGGTCCCTCCTCCAGGACAGCTACATGTTCATCTGGCACAGAAGGACAAATCACATGCGTGCTAACCACAATGCTATAAATTCAGAATTAACCATCTAATCCAACATCAGGAAAAACAACTAAACCAACATAAGGACATTTAAGTAAGTACACATACAAAAGATAATATCAATTAGAAACAGCCATAATACCTAAAACCCTGCGGTGTATGATATAATCTGTGTAATCAGCCTCAGACATCGCAGTATAACAACCCTTGATAAAGGGAGTAATCCTCCCACTTAAGATGAAATCTGGATCTCATAAAAAAAATTTATGCCACAACTCTGTATAAATAAAGTGCACAAGTGTCTAGTAATATACCTAAATGTGGCAGTAAGTAATATTATGTGTAATGTGTGTAACACATGTTACAGTTTGCATAGTTTCAAAACTGATGATGCAACATATGTTAATTCTAAGCATAATTAAGAGTTGGTCATGGTCATGATTTATTCTGTCACAGTGCTACTTTATTGCTGCAGAGGAAGGAATTTGTGCTATAACATTATAATAAATCTGACTCACAAATTGTCTCACTACCCCTGTTTGCCTTGCGACAGAATTGATAAATGTCCCCTAGTGTCTCTGTCAGCCCTCCATGCGCTGCATTATAAGGCAGTAGAATGACAAACCTTTATTTGAACGTATGGGCAGTTAGAACTGAAGGTCACAATATGGCGATAATGTGCCCATGAATGCACAGTAGATAACGTCAGTCATGCATTTGCAGTTGCTAACCACTTCCAGCTTGATGATCTGCATGATGGCCTTGATGAGACAAGTTCCTGTTTGCAGTAGGCTGGTCTCCCACAAAATAGTGGCATAACAGACCATCTACGTCCTCTACAGCCATTCCTTCCCACTGTCACCCTCACGTGGACAAGGTCCTGGCTCTCTGCCAAGTTGCTCCAAGCTCGGCCCAGCAAAGTTGTACAGGCATGATACAAACAGGGTATCTTTAGGCTTCCAAATCTACTAACCTACTCATGTTTGGATGTTGAGCTACAGGTGAAACTCGAATAATTAGAATATCGTGCAAAAGTTCATTTATTTCACTAATGCAACTTAAAAGGTGAAACTAATATATGAGATAGACTCATTACATGCAAAGCAAGATAGTTCAAGCCGTGATTTGTCATAATTGTGATGATTATGGCTTACAGCTCATGAAAACAGTATGTTTCATTTATATTGAAGAGGAATAAAGACTGTCTTGTTTATGTTCAATTTGGCTTCAAGACTGGTCCATAAGCACTCACCATTGGGCAATATTCCAATATTCCCCAAACATCACAGTATAAATAAAAAAACTCAGGTTTTTTTTATTTCAGTGCAGAATTTTTTGCATGGAGGAGGGGGCTTTCAGAAAATAAGCGGACCTTGTTTGCACTGCAAGATTTGCTTTAAAGGAGAACTATGGGGTCAGTGTTTTTCCCCATAGTTCTCCTTGGGGTAACGGGAGGACACAAACTAGCATCCTCCCACTTGAACTATCTTGCTTTGCATGCACTGAGTCTATCTCATATATTAGTTTCACCTTTTAAGTTGCATTAGGGAAATAAATGAACTTTTGCACGATATTCTAATTATTCGAGTTTCACATGTATATGACAGCTCCTTGCTGTCACTGGTTACTAAGGAAGCGCCAAGTGCAATCACTGACATCACCTTACTCATTAACTTGCGTGGCTGGGAATCTATGCCCATGTCATCAAGGCTGAAGGGATAGTGGTGATATGATTGCCCAAAAATGGCCACCTGGCCATATTTAGTTCATGATGTAAACACTATCCCCGCCCCTTCCATTTTATTTATTTATTTATTTTTTCTATTATTTGCAGTTCTCTGATTAAGTGGAAGTATTAAGGTTTCACAGACATCTGTGAATAATCAGGTGCGATATAAGTAACTGTACAACTCACAGACACTTGTAAACAAAGTGGCTTGAATAAACCCTTTCCCTGCCAACGATGTAGGGCATACAGCAGAACAAAACCATTTCCTGCTGGCCAGCTCAGTATGCCTTATGTCAATGGCATTCAGCCTTCTATAAGCTCTTGGTCGCTTCAATGACCCCTGACGATCCCCTGTAAATGAATAGCTGTAATCAGTGGCTGACAAGCTGCTGATGACAGTTATCCATTCAAAATCAGCCGATGCAGAGCCTCTGCTCCCGCTGCTCTGCATCTCTCTCCTCCCCGCTGGGAGCCAGCTGCATGCTGCAGCCTGTGTCTCCTCCGATCTGCGCTGCTCTCCCCCGCCTGTCTTGACAGAGACAGCGGGGATCGAAGGGGAAACAGACTGTTGCAGCAGGCACCCAGTGGGGAGGAGAGAACCACTGTCAGAAGGCCATGCGGGCCCATGCGGAGAGAGCTCCAGTGACAGGTGGGAGAGGGCGGAGCAGTCAGGACTTTCCCTTTGCAGAACAAACACCGAATGAAGCCGCTAGAGAGTTGGGGCTGTGTAAAAAAAGAGATTGCGGAATTCTGCGTTCCTTCTCTTTTTTTTACTGTTTTGCAAAAATGTTAAGGTTACAAATGTGTTATTTATTAACTCAATATTAATATTGTAACTAGGGATGCAGAGAAATTTCGGCTGTCAAAACATATCTGCCGAAAATGGTACTTTGGGTAAAACTACGAAAGTACAATTTTTGGGCCAAAATTCTAGTGCATCTCTAGTTTCTCTCCTCCTCGCTGGACACTGCTCTGTGTCCCCTCTGACACAGGACAGCATTCAGCTGGGAGGAGAGAAACTGTCAGGAGCTCTCCTCCCGCACCACCCCGCTCAGCCTCCTGTGACAGATCAGGATGGAGAGCAAGCAGGATATAGGAAACTGGACCTGAGAAATGAGATGCAACCATCAGTGCATGTAAGTAGACAGGAAGCAACTGTAAAGAAGCTGCAAATGATCATCACTAATGTAATTTTTTTTATGATACACAGTACATTTAGCAAACTAAATGTAATTAAATTATATGTGAAGCAAAACCTTTTGTTTTTTAGTTATGGATAGCGGGAAGAAGTTAAAACCATTGTCAGGTTTTGCTGCTATCATGGACTCCATTGGAGAGATTTTTCTTTACTTTCTGTTCTTCTGACAACAATCTTTCCAGACAGAAAATAAGGTAAAATCTCCAACCAAACCAAAGACCGAAACATATTTTAGAATAGTGTAATAGAGTAGGGAGAGAATGAAGCCCGTGTCAGCTTTTTATTGCTGCCTGTGTCCCTTGTGTAGATTTTTCCTTTGTAAAACCATTCAGTGGCGTAACAACCGGGGGGGCAGCAGGGGCGCGGGCCCCGGGCGAAAAGTGAAGGGGGGGCGCCGGCCGAAAATGGCACTTTCGGCTAAATGCCGAAAGTGACATTTTCCT